TAACTTGGAATTTTTATCTTTTAAAGGTTTTGTTAAGGAGAAATTAAAAATTGATAAACGAAATGTTTATTCAAATAGTGCTCTCGATCAATCTCCGCTGGCTTTTGTACCAGTGATGCGGTTGAGAGAGTTGCGTAGAGTTCTCCAGAAGTCGAGCTTTTCCTTCCATAGTCGGAGGATAAGCCTTTCTGGGAGTTCCTTCGCCTGGTTGTAAATAGTGCATATAGGTATGCATATTTTTATTGCTTTGTTTTAATTTTCTTATTTTTAATTTATTTTATTCAATTTATTATGCGTCATACTGGTCAAGTATACGGGAATACTTGAAAGCCTTCATTGCTCGAACCACGCCCTGATGATGACCCACATGTTAGGGTTGAAACGTTGGCATAAATAAAAAATGTTTATAGTGAGTGCGTCCAGGATATTTATCATCCATGATATGTAAAACAGTCGACTAGCTTCCTTAAATATTTTATTTATTGTATATATCCATCTTAGGCAAAATCCTGGAAAAGCTCATCCTAAAACGCCTGTACCCCATCCTAGATTCTAATCACATTATCCCAGATCATCAATTTGGATTCCGCAGATACCATTCCACTATCCAGCAATGCCATCGTGTGGTGGATGTTGTCTCCTCTGCATTGGAGCGCGGAATGTACTGCACGGGAGTCTTTCTCGATGTAGAACAGGCTTTTGATCGAGTCTGGCACCCAGGACTGCTTTACAAACTCCGTAAATTCTTACACCCTACATACTTCCTCATTATCCGTTCCTATCTTACTGATAGATCCTTCAAAGTAAATCATAATAATGCCTATTCATCCCTTTTTTCCCAGTCCGCTGGTGTTCCTCAAGGTAGTATCCTAGGTCCTATCCTTTACACAGTTTATACAGCTGATATCCCAACCCATCCTAACACAGTCATTACCACGTACGCCGATGATACATGTGTCCTATCAGTTAATAACGACCCAACAATTGCATCCCAAGCCCTTCAATCACACATCACAAACCTTGAAGAATGGTGTCAAAACTGGAGAATAAAAATAAATTCCAATAAATCCCATCAAATCACCTTTACCCTTCGTCGTAAACCTATGTCCTCTTGTCCTACAGTATCCTTTAATAATACCCCACTTATTCCTGTTGAACAAATTCGATACCTTGGACTCCACTTAGACAAACGTCTAACTTGGAATCATCATACCAGACTGAAACGACAAGAAACAGCTCGACGTTTCCGACTACTCCAGCACTTACTAGATAAACGCTCTAACCTCGCAGTCAATTACAAAAGACTCATATACATGACTACAATAAGACCTATTTGGACTTACGGAGTTGAGCTCTGGGGCTCCACTAAGCCATCGAATTCCTCTCGTATTCAATCCTTACAATCCAAAATCCTTCGTAAAATCCTCACTGCTCCTTACTTTGTCACAAACAAAATCATCCATAACGACCTTAATGTTCCTTATGTTTCTGACTTGGCCCAATCCAGATACCTATCCTTCCATAACAAACTTCAGAACCATCCAAACCCTCTCATTTCTAACCTTGCTTCCTCTTCGATCCCTGACAACCCTCAGAGGCGTCTGAAAAGAAGATGGCCTCGAGATCTCCTTTTGTAAATACATTTTTAGAGTGCTACCAATGGGTAGTTTCTCAACATGTGATGTCATGCTTTTTTATTCCTTTGTTCACATTTACTGAATGTATTTTTACTTGTAATACAGTTGTAAATATCACCAATAAAAAAAAAAAAAAAAAAAAAAATTTATTGTATATACTTTTTTATTATATTTTGCTTCTATTTAGTTTACATGTATGGTATGATTGTGTTTGAGTTGTTATTTTGATTAGTTTAGTTCTTTTGTTTATATACATTTACTTTTATTATTATTATTATTATTATTATTATATATTATTTATTGTAAATAGAGTGTAAGTGCGCTCTCTGAACACTATTATAAATGTCCTTAATTGTGACAGAATATAATATTTCTGAATAAATAAATTTAAAAACAAAATTACTTAGGAAATTTTAATTAAGAGCATTATGTGAAGTCTTATGTGAAGAACATATAAATAAATAACACACAGAGATATATATTGCTTTTTACCTTTCTGACTGTCAATAAAATATATATAAAACAAAATTTAGTTGACATATATTTTTTTTTTACAGGTCTGAATTTTATCCTACTTCACTATAACTAATGTCCAAGTGACAGATTATTGTAATACTCAATAAATAAATAAATAAATAAATAAAAACAAACATATATATATATATATATAAAACAAAACAAAAATTTAACATATAAATAAAATTTTATAAATAACCCAAAAAGAATGCATTTTTTTATAGATTGTACCTATGATAATTTGATAGATTACTAGAAAAAAAAATCATCGAATTCGAACTTGTATAAGCTGGTTAAAATTTAAAATTCGTTAAAAATTTGGTTTAAAGCATGAATGAAGTTTAGTAATAATTTTATTATCGAAGGTCGATTACAATTATTGAAAAAATAGAAAATGATCTTCATCGTGGAATAAGTTGAATTATTCCATTTTCTTATTATTTTGCCACATGTTCATTAAACAATATTCTTCGCTCATTATTCACACGGGCTAACTAGTAGTCATTATTACCTTTGATTTACGTTGTTTTATATTACTTTACTTCACAGGAATGGCAATTTATTAAAATTCCGATTATAAACATCACGAAATACAATTACGAATTATGAATACAATATCTTCAATACATAAAATTAAGGATTCATAATATCCGAATCCTGCCAGTTCGAATAGGACATCACATCGTTTCAGCGGTGCCTTCGGCCGAGCAAGAGCACGATCCCTCACCGGCGATGATAAGAAATAAAAGAAGCGCAGACAGGTTGATGTAAAACCAAGCGAGGCTCCGCGGCACTAAGGAGCTGCGGCATGATGGCTGCCCCCCGCTGAGTCTTGAACATTATTTCATTCCGTCTTTGCTCCCCTGTCAGCCTTCCAAACTGCTAACATCAACACTCCTCCACGTCACTTACACACCCCATCGCTTACAGCCCAGGCAAAGCGTGATTCTTCATCATAACTGATAATCAATCAACGAATTTGATTGATACCTACTTGAATCCAGTGGGAAAACATCTACAGTGGAAAAGAAAAATCACTACAAAATTATAATTTGGAGATTTATTGCAGGTCTAGTTACATCATTAAAACAGACAATAAACCTGCAGAATGAGATTGCGATGACCGAGTATGTTACACCATAAACTTTGTCAATCTCGAATCCTGCCTGGGCGGATTGAAATTTATCTCTAAGCGAACCCACGGAATGAATCTCGACCTTCTCACTCTGATTAGAATAGGTTCGGTTGTAGCTCTGGAACAATACCCTCCTGTATGCCATAAATGGTAACCGAATTTAAATTAATTGTTACGCCAGGAGGAGGTGCCACTGGATCCTGCTCTATCTCATACATTACATGGCATTATGTTTCTTTTTCCATTATCATCACATTCATTGGTTGCCATTACCATTATAACAGGTGGTAAAAAATTCATCAAATAAAATTTCCTATAATTTAGGAAAGCAACAACTTAATATTAATATAAATCTTTCAATAAAAAAAACATCAGTTCTCTAGTGATAAAAACAAAACGGTTATTTGCTAATTTTATTGATAATGAATTTGCTTTCATCTTTGAGATCTCATAAAGTTTCTGTAAGCTAGGAAGTATCATAAAAAACTGAAGTTATCGAAGTTTAGTTTTGGTTAGCTTAAATTTCTTTTTAGAACGGTTCAACATAGTCCATTAGCATTTGAAAAAATCGACTTTACTACGTTACAGTTGAAGGGTTTGGTGCAAGAAGGAGGCAGCTCCACTTTTTGCAGTATGTAGCAAATTTAAAAAAAACGTTTTAAATATTTAGTTTTCATCGAAACCAAAAAAATATTCAGTCTTATGTTAGGTTATGTTTGGTGCAAGAAGGAGGCAGCTCCACTTTTTGCAGTATGTAGCAAATTTTAAAAAAACGTTTTAAATATTTAGTTTTCATCGAAACCAAAAAAATATTCAGTCTTATGTTAGGTTATGGGTCATCAAATACAACTGACCAGAATACACATACACAAAATGTATGCGTTCAGGTACGTGCAATGGAACTTTGAATTCTTGGATGTGGCGCAAAGTGGAGCTGCCTCCTTCTTGCACCAAATCCCTCAATTTGTAATCACATACAGTTCTTTGTTTCCTATTTAACAAATAACCTAAGTATAAAGAATAAAATTTTTGTTGCCCATAACCATCACCTGCTGTTCTTTGGTCCACTGATATTAATTACATACATATTAAAATACATGAAACGTCCAGCAAATTCCCCCAAATAGTGTTCCAGAGGTTATGAAACGGATTTAATTAATTAAATAGATACAAAGTTTATTGTGTTCGGGGAAAATAATACAGAAAGTTAGTTACTTTCATAAAACTGCTGACGATTGCGTTTCAGAATTCGACTTACAATCACCCGTTAAGCTCAGCTCGTCCAGTCGGAGATAACATCTTCGGTTCGGTGAAAGGTGATTTTCTCACTAGCGATTTATGTTTCAAACCTTTTCAACATTCGTCATTATTCTACACGAGTTGAACTTTAGGAGTACTAAAGGACATTTTGGGTCGTCTTGTCAACTAGACGTTATCTAATGCTCTTACATAACAGTTCAACTCTGCTTTCTGAGTAGGATTATGTATGCCAAATACTTAAGGAGCTCAATAATAATAATAACCTTTATTTGTACATAAAATGAATTATTTGTACATTGTTTAAAAAATGAATAAAAATAGATATCTTTACATTTTGATTTATACTTAACATTCTTATGTACAAAATCAACATTTTAGTTGAGATTTTGAGTTAGATTTTCTTTCTTTCTTTCTTTTTTTTTTTCCTATCTTTTTTGCGACCACACTAAGTAATGAACCAGTCCCATCCGTTTCCACTCTTTCCTCTCCAGTACTACTCTCTTCCAGGCTGCTCCCCCGCAGGTCTTCTTCATCTCCTTGTACCAGTCTGTCGGCGGGCGTCCTCTCATCCTTTTGTGATCTCTTGGATGTCAATCCATAAACTGCCTGGTCCATGTTATATCATTCCTTCTGATTACATGTCCGGTCCAGGTTCACTTCCTGATGTGCGCTTTTTCCACAATATCTGGAAGGTCAGTCTTAGCTCTGATCCATTTATTCGCTTTTCTATCCCTTCATTTTATTCCGAAAAGATATCGATCTATTCCTCTGACGGTTACCCTCAATTTGCGACAAGTCTTCTGATCACTTACCCAAGTTTCACAACTATATGTCATGACAGGAAGTACTGTGCTCAACCAAAGTTTTCTCTTGACCTCTGAGCTCACCGAGGATCAATATATATATATATCCTTAAATTTGAAGAGTCCGCGCAATCTTCAAATAAGGAACTCAATACAAAAGCAAGTGGAAGAGCAGATATTTTAAAAAATGTAAACATTCATGGCTACATTATGTTTTTCATTTTTAATTTCACAAATCGAGAATTTTGCTTCCTAAGTTATACACATATATAACATGCCAGATAATACGCCCGCTTCCGCCAAACAATATCAAACGTATAGATCTTTTGAATCCAAAAATTAATTCTTCGAACAATAGCCAATTCTCAGTACTACGTCACAAACAAAACCTTACATCGTGATATCAACATCTCCTTAGTCCTCCATCCATATTCTCAAACTTATATCACAAACTTATCCATCAACCTAATCACTTAGGACAATCTATTTCCAGCTTCAACCATTCATATAATCCCCTGCGGAGGTTAAAACGGCAATGGCCCCGAGATTTTCGTAAATCTTCTATAAGAGTTCTAGCAGTGGCCAGCTTCTCCACTAGAATCCTAAGGCGCATGTGACTAACTGTCTCCACTGGCTTTCAAACAGTGAAGCGGCTGCGAGAGAAGCGCTAGGATCTCTTTGAGCCCAGATTGCATATCTCTTATGAATTGGTTTCAAATTAATAATATGAATTTATTCAAAATTTACGCAATTCGCCATCCTAGGCATTCGCCTAATTTAACTGTATGTAAATCCTCTTATAAAGATAATGAGTGTCCATTACGGCATAAGACTAAATATTGCTTACTAGAGAGAAATAAAATATTAACGTAAGAGTAAAACAATAAATAATATACATTAGCGCAATATATATTTTATATCCAGAATGAAAAAGGATAAAACCCTCCCATGTTTTGTAAAAATATGTTTTGTTACAACAAACAGTAGAAACAGGAAGTTTTACATAAAATTCCGAAGTATTTCCTCCTATATAAATTATTATTTTGGTCGGTAGTTTGAATTTTTGACTAAATAAATTTTGAATTGTGTTTCATCATTCTGAAAGTGGGATTTATTATTTCAGCTTTTGGAAACATTTCTCCGAGTCGAAATTCAGAATCTTTCCAATAGTCTAACCTGCTGCTGCAATCTTATTCATACAAAACAACTCACTAAATTATCAACACAATGAAGTTGATAGTAATAAAATTGCAAAAATATTTTTTCAGATACGAACAATATGAGGGCTTAATTTCTACCGTCAGAGCGGGAACTGTATCCATGCATATGAACTACAAATTGAAGTTCTGATATAAAAAAATGAATGTGTGAAAAAGATGTATAGTTCGTTTATCAAACAATTTTCTCTTCTCAACCTTCAATCAGTAGCTGTTAATTTACAATAAATTAATACATTTTAAAAATATTATTGTACTATATGATATAAGTATAAAAAATCAATAAGACAATCATTATGTAAAATACGAGAAATATTGTATAAATAGAATAATTTAATAATCTCAATAGAAGTAAAGTGAATAGAACCTTTTTTTTTTTTTTTTTTTTTCTCTTTTTCTCGCCTCTACCCTAGAGGGTCATTGGAAAAAAAAAAAAAAAGAAAAAAGAATAGAACCAATTTTTTGAATAAAATGAATTTTTATTCAAAATTAAAAGATGAATTAACTCAAACAAGATCTAAAATAAAGTCTGTCAAATCTTGTTTTAGTGAGGCTCGTAAGGACAACAGGTTTGTCTTCTATTTATATTTTAGTTTCATTTTTCACCGCTACTTTCTTTTTCATATCACGATTTAGTTTATATTGATACGTTTACTAATTGAACCTTATTTTATTAATTTACAAAATTATTAACTTTGCAATTCCCTTCTATGTGCTCAGCATGTTTTAATAGATATCACTGCACCGAAATTTTTCTAGCTATATTTATTTTATTTTTTTATATGACTTCATATTCCTTTCCTCTGTTTTACATTTTATTCCACTTATTGACTTACCCAATATTGTTTTGAGAGAATAAAATATTGTTCAGAATTAAATATAAAAATAAAATATTCGGGGGCATAGATTCCCCCAAAATACATACATACATACAAAAATCAAAATTATATTGGGCAGCAAGATGTCGGATGGTCGAATGACCAATGACTAATGGCATAGGAAAAAAAAAAAAAAAGATTCTCCGAAACGTTCAATAAATCGTTATCAGCAGTTAATTTTGATTTTTACAATACTGATCTCTGAGGCATAAACTTAAGTGTGAATAGACGTTTTATTCTACATCAATCTCACTTTCTTTTAACGTATTGAGACATCAACTTATAGCAACTACATCATCCCATTTATTTTACGTCTAGCAGTTTAAGTTTTTTATCTCTTAATATTCCATTTCATTTCTTCGTTAATTAAGTTTACATTTATTTGCTAATTTTATTATATTGTTACAGTTATTATTGCTTATTTCTTAAGTTCCTAACTCTATAATCGTAATTATTGATTTGATAAGTTCCTAACTTTATTACTGTTGTGTTACATATACTACAATACTTTTGCTTCCGATACTTTCTATTCCTAACTTTGTAATAGTTATTTTATTCCTTTACTTAATATTTCTGCTTTTTCACATATTTATTAATATTAGATTTACTCTGCCTACATATTATTAGACTATAATCTTATAACTAACTACATATTATTATTTTTTGTCGTTTACTAGTTTCTCATATCTTTTGTTATCTTGTCTTTTCATAGCCCTGATGAAGATCTGAGCCTTTGGCCGAAATGTTGATAAAAATTAAAATAAATCATTTACTTCAATTTCGTTACTTGTAACTCAACACCCCAACCTACTCCTCTTCAACAATCTAAAATAAAGGGTTGGAGATAGAACCCATGTTCAGTGTTCTTCAATAGCTGATGCGAAGATTAACAGACCGAAAATATCAGACGAAACAAAGCTAAGAACAAAAGGTAGAAGGGTAGGTGATAAATGGGAGAAGGATTCAGACGAAGCATTCTTCCCTTGCACTAATTATAAGTGGGACACATGGCCATCGATCATCTGGCTTAATAGTACCTCCACGGCCTTCCATGGTAGGCACCGTCAACGGTTTTAGTCAAGAAGAAAAAATAAAAGGTAGAGTTTGTACCGAAAAAAAATCATGGCCACTTCAATCTGTTTCCGATCAGTGATTATATTTTTTATATAGGTTTCGTCTTAAAAGTAAACTTTTAAAAAAATATCTCGTCTCACACAACTTTCCTACCTATTTCAGAAAAGTTTTTATATCTTTACATATGTTCATGAAGAAACACAAAAAAGAATTGAGCCAGATTTATTTTCCAGAAAATTGATCAAACAACGATTCGATAAACTAAAAAAACGTAAACCGGCTTAAAGTAGATCAGTGTGAAAATTTCAATACTCACTAATATTGCTGATCAAAAACTTTTTGCCATAGTTTAGTATTGTCAAACAATAATTTCTGTTAAAAGTAGAGGAAATGGTGAAGATTGTGTAATGCGGGCAACAATGGATAATGATTAGAACATTATAGGAAAGTTTCATCAAAATCAGAGCCGTTTTGACCCTACAGTCTATAGAAAAACATGTTTTTCGCATTTATTGCGAATTAATAATAAAAAATATTTTGCATAATAAAAACATTTATTGCGCGCAAGCTATTGCAAATAGAGCACAGAATTTCTGTCACAGGCATCAGTAGTCAAAACCCTACAAAATAAAAAAGAAGCACCAAAATCGGTTCAGTAGTTCCCGAGAAAATCTTAGCACAGACAGACAGACAGCCAGACCAATGGCTAAAAATGTATTTTTTTGGACACAGGGGGCTCTGAAACGTATAGATCCGTCGAAAACCGCATATCGAAAATTTGACCCGATTGCAATACTTTTCTTACCTAGTATAGGTTGGAAAGTAACAAGGTACAATACCGGCGTCATTTTTAAAAAGATAATTAGAATAACAAATTGGTAACGAAGAATTGAAATAGAACAGTATATGCTCATTAAGGTAAATGTAGCAGTTATAGTAATAGATTCTGTAGTAATAGTAAACAGTTTACAATTCATTGACTGATAATTAGCTTTACATGCCGTATTGAGAGAGCAAATATGCAGTTAAACACTTAGAAGGGTGATGCCTGCACCTTATGTGATATATAAGCCGTAAAATATGTCATTAGTAGTTGATTTTTTAAGGAGCAAGAATGATTGTTTGTTTCAGGAAGGATCCCCAATCAATTTTCTTTAGGAGATATTAGTGAAATTTTGACCCAACCATCTAAAGTTTGCCGTTTATTAGTTTAAAACTGTGCAGAATTTATTATTATTTTTAAATATATAAAATAACTATTGACTCACAAAACCTGTGTGTCTCTTACTAGTGCAATATACCCTGTCAGAATTTCTTAATTTTTTCATGAATAATAAAATAATTATGAGGAAAAATTATAGTACATAAATTTATAAACGACTTAATTCTTTGACAAAATCAATTCTCTTAAAGGGCCAAATACCGGTACATTTACCTTAATTGAACAATGCAGCATCCATCCTCAAGTAGATTTTTTTTCATGCACTTAGGCTGTTAGACGTTCATAACAGAATTGACTAATATACTTAATTAAACATTACGTCATTTTAAGAGTTCAATCAATAGATAAGGACCATGGAAGACCTCTAATAAAAGAAATAGACAATAACAATAACATCCTCATAAACGAACTCACAACGTAAATTAGAAATAACCTATTCAGTTGTAACAACACGTCCTTTAAACAAAAATACTAACAACATACACATCCAAAATTTTACTGTATGTAAAAGACATATTGAAATGTAAATCAACAATCAAGATGGTGCCTCTAACCTATAAAGTTGCACACGGCACCTAAAATAGAACCAAATAAATAAAACCGGGAAAAAAAAGAAAACAATATATTTTGATTAATTGAGATTACGAATAAAAAATGCACATAAAATGCTCTTCCCTTTCGATGAACTTAGACACACAGCATAAGTATTTTATTTATTTTTGAGAAAAATACAACTAAAAACT